TTGGACTTATATATATATATATATATATATATATATGAACTTATTAAAACAAAGAAAAGTTATATAGATTTAACTATATATATATATATATAATCTTCGGCATTACGTGATTTGATACATTTATCGAGTCAATTTGTTAAATTTTAAATTATAAAAGAATTTCACCCATTAGAGCAATATATTATATAAAAGTGTTGCCAAAATGCTACTTGTGTTTCTCATCAACTTGTAAAATGTTACATGCAAAACATGCTTCGAAAGATCTGATAGGGCTAAACCACATACACTTAGAATCATCATTCTTAAAGCTATGCCGAAATTAAAATAAATAAATAAATAAATAAAGGTCCATATGGCATCGAGATTTTTCTTTTCTGATGACATTTTTCTACAGTCAATTTTATATTTTTAATAACACCTTTGCCAGAACAAAATATAGCAATGTTAAATTCTACGGTTTTGATTTATTCACGAATGGAAAAATCTAGCAAAAGGGGAAATATTAAAATGAAAAAACCTGATGCATGACAGAAAGAAAATGTCTAATTACAGTGAATTGAAAGGATGTTTATAGCATCATCAAGAACTTAAGAATTAAGTCATCTTAATAAGTGATTGTAAAGTCTGTTTAAGGACTTGGAGTCCATATGATAATTTTATATTCAACTTTTTGTCCATATTAAAATAATGTTTGATGAACAGATATTATATTTCATGAATATAGATTAGTTATGGACCATATGGGAAAAAAGGTTAAAGCTTAACATGCAATTCAGGAGTAGGAAAACTATAGCAAACAAAAGGTGTGACAAGGGCATCACGTTTAGGTAAACAAAAATCAGTATACCATGTCCTTCCCTGAAGGTAATGAGAGAATTATGGCAAGTTTCGGTCACATGCCATGATCATGAAACTTCAAATCTTGGCAATTAAAGGCACATAAGATAAGAATGAGACCTGTGCACTCCCAACACAAGCCACATAGCTGATTTAGAGAATCAGACCATAACACGAAGACCATCATAAATACTAAGAACCTAAATACTAAAATAATTGCTCAAAAGGGTGAGAGTGAGAGAGAGGATCAAGTTACTCTCCATCTTTACTTCTCATTTTAACCAATAATTCTTATTTTTAGAATCATAATTGTTGATATTCATTTGAATAACATCCTTTAGAATAATTCATATATATATGTAAAATTCAATGCTCAACTGTGTAGTTGCCGGGTTAGGACTGTGGTGGAGTGGATCCACTAGTATTTGACGGAGAATAATGGAAGCACTATTTAGAATGTGGTTTATTTATTGGGTGATAATGAACAATAGAAACTGGTGATATTAGTTAAACAGCTTTATTTATTTTTTTCCGCAGGGTTTCTACTTTCCCATGGTCTACTCAAATGCAAGACAATTTATTAAAAAGGTCTAATTAAGTTGATTAAAGTGAGGGTGAAGTATTATAAACAAGCCGAAATTGATTCTACAAGAAGAAAAAATGTAAGATGATTTTAGCCGAGAAAAAGAAAGAAAAAAGTGCTCCCTTCTAGAAAGTGATAAGGTCAAGTGCATTATTGTTGTAGGTATTAATTGTTCGATTAATGAGAAGGTCCCCCACACCGTAAAATATAGCAACCCTAATGCCACGAAAGTTTGGGTGGTGGAAAGGAAACCCCTTGCACAGACTTCCTCACTATGATTCCATGCTTTAATATTAATATACGAAACTTATCAAAGTATTAAATGCTCTGTCACCTCTCTTAATATATATTTTTACTTGAAAATAAAATGATGCAAAGAGTATATAAATATAAAGACCGTAAAGTAGGCCTTCTCTCTCACGACACATCCCTGTCAACAGCTGTGTTATTGAATAATATGAAATGACGATTTTTACACCAAACTAGACCGAGCAAAACTAAGGCCGTGCACTTGTGTAGTTGTGTTTGTATTTTTTAATTATAAAATTTTATTTAAAAAAATACTAAATTTTCAGTATATATCTTATAGAAATCTTTCAAAATAGACAACATGTTGAAAACAATGTGACAAATTTGTAGTTAAAAGGCGGGAATAGAAAATGAAAACACAAAATAAAATAATTAGCTAGCTTGTAAAATTTAAAAATGCATAATGTTTGAAGTAGGTTTAGAGATTAATTTAAAAAATTAAGGGTGAGTTTACTTGTCCTTTTATTTTTTTATTTTCATTTATGTTTCCACTTTTTAATTACAATTGACATTTTTTTAATTAGATTCCTATTTTTGAATATTTTCACATGAACCACGCACAAAAAAATTGTTTTTAGTTATTACTTTAAAACTTATTTAGAAAAACTAATACTTTAAAAACAAAATTGATAGTTAAGATCATGGGTGGCAAATATTACAGCATGCGAATTAACCAGCCAATTAAAATGGCTAAAGGGAAAAGAGGAACAAATCAACTCAACTATGATGAAAGAAAAAGAAAAGTTAAGATCAAAACCTCCTAATTTTGAGTATAATATCACCGATAGCAGACAATCCACAAACTTCATATTAAACTAGAAAAACTAAGATTTATTCATTTGATATTTGATGTTAATGACTTTAATATGATATTAAATAATTCAATAGTACAAGATCGGTTAAATTTATATTATAATAAATATTATTGAATGTATAAAATTTAGCATAAATTTTTAAACTTTCAACCAGTATCAACAGGATACAAATAGAAACAAAATTCTACCCACATGTTTTAAGAGTTGTATTTATCTCACACTAAAATTGATGATGAAACTCAAACAAAGTTGCAATGCAAACATAAAATACCAGAATAAGCGCGTTATGTGTTCTTTCTATAGGTATAAAACATGTTCTCCAATGGGTCAATTTTAGGCGTCAACTATTTTGGACTTGGGAGCGGCATATTCATGGACACAGCCCAATTTAAAAGAGCACTATATTACTGGGCCTGTTTGCTCGGACCCAAAATAAAAGCCTCCCTACAAAATAGTAATCCATAAGCAGAACTTGCTCAATATGTTTTCTTCCCTTATGAATACTAGAGGGAAAGAGCTTCTCAATTTTTAAAAAATAAAAATAAAAATTAGAGAGTGAAAGAAATTTGGAAAATAAATTTTACGGTGAAGTATAGTCTGTATAGTGAGAGTGGTCTAAAAGTAGTTAAGGAGTTAACTGTTCCAAAAAAACATGTAAAAAAAAAATATTCCTTTTATCATTATTAAGTAGGAAAAGAAACATTTCTTACCTCTATTGAAATATAAAATAAAAAAGATTAAAATAAATAGATGGTTAATATATTCTCTTATTTTACTTTTTCTGCATTAAAATTTATCATTTATTTTTATGAGCAGTTACATTTCATCTTTTAAAGTAAAATGAAGGGGGAAAAAATAGGAGCAAAAATATCTATATTAAAGTGAAAATAAAAAGCAATTATCGAATGGACATCACTTAGCATAGATAATAAATATAAGTTTAATTATATTTTTATCCTCATAATTTTATTGGCTTTGATTTTTAATCTTTACAATTAAAAATAATATATTTGACTCTCTCCCACACACATTGTCCTATTAGTCCTTATAGTCTTTTGAGTTTTACCTTTTATTATTTTTTACTCATTATAGAAATAGATAATTGAGACTAAAAGAAAATAAAAATAGTATGTATAAGGATTAAAATAAAAACACCTTCGACTCAAAAAAAATAAAAACATCTTAACTATAAAGATTAAAAGACAATGTTAATAAAAATATAAGAACTAGAAGGATAATTAAACTATTAAAAATTATGTTGGTTTAATATGATAAGTCACTTAAATTGTTCACTCTATTGTAAGAAATCTTTATAGGTGAATATGTAACGACGTATTAGTTAAAATGTATGCATATTATATAGTGTAATTTAGTGTTGTTCGTATACTTTGGTGATTATATTATTGAATGCCACAATTGAAACATTTTGTTGTGTTGATATGTTGTCAACCATAAAGTGTTTTATTATTGATGAGTAATATAGATTATTTCATTTCTATACTTGTATTATATTAATTTTTTTTATACTTTAGCTTACTCTTTTAATATGATTTTTATATATTAATATATATTTATTGTAACTAAAACAATAGTTTTGAATTTTATAAGAATGAAAAATAAAAAAAAAATTACAAGGACAAAAATCAAAATATGTTCCTTTTTTAAGAACTAAAAATATATTTAGATCATATTGTTATTTACAAATAAAATACACATTTTTATTTAAAAATAATTAATTTTTGAACCAGACAATGACAAATTATAATGATTTGGTTATTAAGAATATATGTTTTTATTTAAAATATAATTAGAAAAACCTAATTATATAAGTGATTTGTATATTTTCATGATTTTCAAATTAATTATAAATAATTTATATAACTTGTGATTACTCTATAAACTATAACACGAGATTAAATAATGTTAAAATATATATTAAAATATGGTATATGTATATCATGTTTATAAAAATAAGATAAGATATGATGATATGTTTATTCTATTATTTTTTTTTTTAAATTTCGATCAATCAATTTATAAAAATAGAAATATTACAATTTAAACAATTTTAATATAATTTTGAGGATTACGAATCATAATCTAGATTATTTTAATATTATTGTAATAAAATGAAAAGAAAAATATAACAATTTTAATATTTTTTTTTCAAACATTTATCTAATACATAAATTCTGAAATATTTTTGATTGTATTGGAGATAGTGTATTGACAAATATATAAACACTTATATTAATAAGATTCACTTAACCAGTAACATGAAAATCTCATTTTTGTATGGCTATATATAGTCTCCAAAGGTTTTTGGTTGACAACTCATAATTTTTTATTATGATTTTTGATACATTTTCTATTATTTATAAATATACAAAACTAAAAATCACGTGAGTCTTTGTTTATAAAAAGAAAAAAAAATGGAACATGTGCATTCCACGTTGGCCAACAGAAAGTGGCAGCTACCAACGAAGTACTATAAATAACACTGAGTCAAGCATTTCCTCGAGCAGTTACTGTTACACCAAAACCAATCATGGATTCCTTTCTTCAACTCTTCGTTGCAGTTTCCCTTGCGTTTATAATCTCTTTCAGAGCTTACAGAAAAAAATCCCTCAGCACTTCGGGTGCTTTCGCAGGCTTCTTCGTTATGGCCCTTCACTTTTTTGTCGGATACAGGTATTTACTTCTTTTCTCCTCTGTTTTGGTTCTTGGGTCACTCCAAAATTTAATCTTTTTGCTCTTCTCGTATGTGGGTCGTGAAGGTTTGGCGCGATGCTGCTTGCGTTCTTTTACTCTTCCTCCAGCCTCACCAAGATGGGAGAGGAGAGAAAGCGAACAATTGATCCTGAATTCAAAGAAGGTGGACAAAGGAACTGGTGAGTTCTTTCTTTTCTTTTCTGCTTCAAGATTTGTGTTCTAGACTCTTGTTTTGAAGGTCGTGTAGTTTTATGTTATTTCAACCGTGGAGAAAAGGGTCATTGGATGCGTTCATGCAAAAAAATTAAAGAGAAAAATGATTGTGTTGTGTCCATATTTGGATGGATTCTTTGATTGAGATATGGATATGGTAATTGCCGTAGTTCTTTCTGTGTTTAGTTTGGTGTCAGTGAAAGGAATGATGGGTTTTGTTTTGTATTTTATACATTCTTTTACACAGTTTATTCTTGAAAATTTCACCTCATTTTTCTGAGGACACCACGTTGACCCTTTTCTCTTCCTGACTATTTTTTTTTTTTTCAGGATACAAGTTCTGGCCAATAGTGGCATTGCCTCGGTTCTGATTGTAGCTATATGGGTACTCACTGAAGGGCAGGATAAATGCTTGAACTCTGAAGACTCACCTCTGATCACGTCTCTCATTGGTGCTGTTATCGGCCATTATTCCTGCTGCAATGGAGATACTT